TTTCCACCATGAAACGGACAACCCAAAACATTAATGCTTCTCTAAACCAATTCACATCATATTGCCAAAGAAATGTAGTTCGTTGTCGAATTGCCAATGTGCTACAAACCTTAATCTTTGTCGTCGCACTTCATTCCACCAAAACAACCTTCACATGCAAATGAAACAAAGTAATTCCATTACTGTATAGAAAGGTTACTCACCAACAACATCCCCTTCCCCTTAGTGTCGCACCACTCCACATCCTTCTTATAAGGCAACAAACCTAATTAAGCTCAATCACCCCTTTCACCACCAAACCAGACCACCCACTAGCAGCAAGTAAGCAACCCCTTAATTAATCAAACCTACACATTGCCCTTTGCCCACCAACCCTTTAAACTCTCAAGCTTTTAATTATCTTTCACTGGGGCAATTTGAGAAGGGAGAGTGCACCGGGGGAAGGCACCAGGAAAGTGCACCAGGATTGCAAGTCAACAAATTTCAGACTACACTCTGCAGACTACAAATAGGTCGGTGTAATTTTGTCAAAACTGGCCACTAAATTCCACAAAGATGGTTAACTCCCAACTGCATTTTCACTTTTCATTTATTGTCTTATGTTAGATTTTGCCTATAAATAGCTATGTTTCCTTTGTTGTATGCATAAGTTTTAATCCAAATTTTCAGTTTATAATTCTCCTCTGTTGAGTGAATTTTCTTGGGACTGGATTCTCTCAATTTATCTCTGTATCTTAGGTTTTGCCAACCTAAATGGTGTTCTTGGCAATCGAATTCATCGTAGTGGGATTTTAAATCTCGCCAAAATTGGTGTTTCGGTATCGACTTCTACGCCAGAGAGGATGAGAAACACCAGTGAATCCCCATGCAAAATTAGGGAGGGCCATTCTCCCACAGCCTTTAGGTACCCTAGCAGTCAGAGAGAGTTTTTTTATTATTTTCCATTTTCTACAATTCTTGTTTCCAATAGTCTCAACAACACGTTGATTCTCATTTCCATTTCGACCCAGAAGTTTCACAAAATTTTTTATTTAGCCCTCAAGAGTAATTTTGGTCCTTGAGAGTATTTAAACAATTTTTGTATCTCATGAAATAAAATTTATTAAAAATATTTTATTATTTTTATAATTTGAACTACTCTTATTTTACTACATGAAAAATAGCATTTCCATAAAAAAATTCTTTGCAAACTCTTAACACATAAAAAAAAAAATTATAAAGAAAACTCTAGTATTATTTTACATATTTTTACTAATTATAAAAAAAAAGATTCATATAATACAATCTGTATTATACATTAAAAATACAGTTTATTTTATAAATTTAATAAAATATCATTAATAAAATAATTAAAAAAATAACTTTATTAAAAATATTTTAATAAACATATAAAGTAAATAACACTTTTAGTATATAACCCACGTTATAAAGCACAATTTTTTTTCGTTATAATAAAAAAAAAATAAACATATAATAAAAACACGTCACAACTCGGAAGGAAAGCCGAAGTTAGCGAATAACATTGAATAAGGCCGAAAAAATTAATGTTTGGATCAAATCAAATGCTCAAAGGCCCTAAAAGCTAAGCCCAAAAAGCCGAAAGTGTTAAAGGAGTTGGTCGGAGGAAGGTGGACTAAGGAGTGGTGGTTTGGTGGCGTCTCTCTGAAATCCGAACGGAAAATTTTGGGGGAAAAAAAAGAAGGAAAGATGACGATGGCGAAGGAAGGAGGAACAGCGCAGGAGAATGAATAGAAATAGCAGAGGAAACAGAATATAATAATAGTTTTTTTTTTTTTTTTCCAATTTGTCAAAAGAGAATTCCTAATCGATGAAATGGAAGGAAGGGGTTAGGGTTTTTGACGTGGGATTTGAAACGAAGATCTCAAACCTGAAACTAGTAAAAGGAGCTGGATCATCCTAGAAAGGTCAGATCTTTACTGCTTATCTGGACAAAAATTGCCCCTTTCCTCTCCCCCTTCAAAGTCTCTACATTTTTTTAGACATTACAGACCCAACATTTAAAAGGGCTGAATCGTTGAATTCTGAAACAAGGTAATTTATTATTGTTATTGTTATTATTGATTTTTTGCTTGATTTTGCATCTTCTGCAGGATGTTGGTTTTATTGTTTTTGATGATGGTTGGTGAATATATGTGGGAGAGATGAATTAAAAACACTGCTTCTTGCTGTTGCTGTTTTTTCTTCTAGGATCCTCTCAGTAACTCTCTTTCTGCCAAAATTCAACCTAACTGCTGTTGATACTTGTTATGCTCTTGATTGCTTTGCCTCCTCCTGTTTTTCTGGTATACTATTTATATATATAGATAGATAGATAGATAGATAGATAAATATATCTCACCTGGAAACATGCATGCTAGACATAGAAGTCCTGGAAATGGGTATAATAGGTCTAGTTCAATAGGGGTGGGACTTGCTGCCTCCCGGATCTCTCCAGAAAGTTCAGGTAGAGGCCACGGGTTTTATAATTCTGAGTACCGGAACTTCAAGCGTGGTTTTGGACGTGGCCAAAACCAGTCTAATAAAGCAATCCATCCACCCACACCACGCAAAGGAAATGACCTTTTTATGGAAGCAGGCCGGCTTGCCGCGCAATATTTGGTCTCCCAGGGACTTTTGCCCCCCACTGTATTACCTGGCAAATGGCACAATAGTAATCTAAAGAAGCAGGCAGGGGACTTCCAGGATTTTAGGTCTTTAGAGGGAGGAGATAACTTGCACCTTCCTCAGGATGGCAGGACATCAGCACTTGCTCGTCTTGGGACTTCTCCCTCTGATACAGGTATGGGTAGGAGGAGATATACTGATGATTATAACCCTATGGGGTCAAGAAATCATATGAAAGGAAGAAGGAGACAAGTTTTTCGGAATTATGCACCAGATTTGGGTCGAGAATATGATGATGATGATGATAACACCATTTCTGGACGTCATGAAGAGCAACAGCTTGGTAAAGATCTTGGTAATGGGTTGCAGAAGTATGGTTCAAGCGAGTCTGCCCCAAAAAGTGAGGAAGCAGGTGATTCAGAATCTGAAATGGAAAAGTACAATGTACAAAAGGAAATGGCCGCAAAGCCAGGTTCTTCCAATGCTGGGAATGATCTGCAGCATGAGACTGATGTGGAACACTCAAAGATGTCTGATGGTTCAACAAATTTGAATGCAGGAACCGTGGAGCCTGAAGATGGAAATACTAGTGATGAGACTGAAATAAAGGGTACCATGGAGGAATTGCCCATCCACCACAACAGTGCTGAGGTTGAGTCACTCAACAAATATATGACTGATTTACTTGCAGTGTGCAAATTTGCAAATGTTCCCACTAAAAAACGCTCTTCATTGTCATTTAAGGCTTTGAAGCTTGACCCAATTGCAAAGGAAGAAGAAAAAAGTGCTTCTGATATTGGACCTGCAAGAAGATCTGAAGTCCTTGGTGAGGATGATTCTTTTGGGGGGTCTTCTACTGATCTACTATTATATAAAAGTCATGATTTGACATATCTTGATTCCGAGACTTCTAAAGACCTGTCATTTCACCCTGCTGAAAATGTTGGAGAATTGGATCATGTATATGATGTTGTGCAGGAAAAGTGTAAGAGGTCTCAATCTTTCCCTGATGGAGCTCTTTTGCATGATAATGAGGAAGATTTAATTCGGGGAATTCCTGATCTCCCAAGGAGCAGCTCCATGGTTGAAAACAGAGGTGAAAAACGAGCTCTAGAACAGAGTGATTTGGAGGATGTAACTAAGAAACAAAAGGAATGGTTTCAGCCAATGGCTAGTCTGGTGGATGATATCAGTGTCCTTTCTGTTCTTATGGATAAAAAAGGGAGGTCAGAAGAAGGGAGGGATTTGCCTTCTGAAAGGATCAGTGTGACCATCAATCAACACAGCTTCATTAATGATTCTCAATTTTCAGATGGGGATGCTGTTGAATCTGGTGTCAAGTGTGCAGAAGAGAAGCAGCTTTTTCCAAGTTCATTCAAGATCTGTGATCTTAATCTTATGGAAGCTGATATTAGTGAACACCATCATAGTAACCCCAATATTTCTTACCCCACTACTTTAGAAACCAAATCAGAATCACAAATTGATATAGATTTGTCAATCAGTAACTCCAATAATTCTGGTGAAGGTAGCAGACACGTCAGTGGCTCAAAGGGGATTGAAGTAATTGATCTGGAGAATGGCTCTACCGAAGAAATCAAAGCTGTTAATAATTCGGAGAAAAAGTAAGATTCTTTCATCAGTGTGCTTTAAAATCTTTATCATGTCTGTCATTTCTCCTATGCTATAAAAATAGTGAGAGAAGAATATCTACAACTCTTGTTTTCATTTGATTGGAACGTTTTAAGTTCACCAGTGTTCCTAATGATTTCCTTAATTCTACATCTCTGCCCTGCAGGAGTGAACCAATGTATGTGGGCATGACTAGTGATATTAATGATGTTCCTGATAGTTATGATGGGCTTACGCTCACAGAGTTCTTGGGAAATTTTTCAAATAATCCTCATGTATCAGAGGATATCAATCCTGATTATCTGCAGAATGACAACATTAACCCTCTGCAAAATGAGGATATCAATCCCATGCAGAATGGGATGGGGCTTCATAATGGAGAGGTACAACACTGATTGTTGATTGTTGATTGTAGGATGTCCATTAAGGTTACTAATCTTTATGATATGTACACCTTCTCGATTTGATGCTAAGTTACCTTAATCTTTAGGATGCTCTTAGAATATGTGTATCATTCTATGCTTTTCTGCTCTAACTTGCCTCATTATGATATTGGTAAATAACTTGTAGTTGTTACTGATTCTTTCTTTCAGGGAACTCTTGGTGATGATGATTCAATTTATATGTCACTAGGGGAAATACCATTAAGTAAGTGTGATATTTAATTTCATTGTTTGTTGTACTAGAATTTGTCATGAATCTATCAAATGTGGTGTTTGGGGTACTTGGTAGAGTGTTGATTAGCACATTAAACTTGCATGCATCAAATGAATATTAGATGATAATGGCCATCAAATCGAATTTGTAAGAAACATAATTCTATTTCTATATTGTTGATAGCATACTAAGAGTAACAGAATGGGAAAACAGGTGCCTAGGAGGCTTTCTCTCTTAGAAGCTTTTTGACAGTTTCCTTTATGATTGGTTAAACAATTTTAGTTGTAAGTTGCATCAAGTTTCTTAGAGGCGGTTGTCTCAGGGGATCGGAGTATCTGGTTCTGCATTGAACAAGCTTTTGTTTATTGGGTGCTAATTAACCATTAAGAATCTACCGGTCGCGTAAGGTCACCTTTTTGTTGACTTTGGCATTGAATTCCTTAAGGTCATATTTAGTTTGATGGAACAGCTACAGCTATTCCTGGTTGATGATAAAAACTAAATGTAAAACATGGTGGGTGTGTGGCAAAATGGGAATCAGAGGGAGGAAAGTGGTTGCCTTTTTTTTTTTTTTTCTAGTGAGGATAAGGTTGGGATAACTGTTACAACTTCTCCCTGGGTTTTAGTTATTCAGACTCATTAAAAGAAAACAAGCAACCTTAATGAAAAGAGATGAAAAAGATGGAAGGGTTTCTAGTCTAG